GGCAGATGGAACTCGGAGGAGGCCTAATCTATGCAATCTAATTGGTCGCAGGGAGGTAATTGGCAGGAGGCGGTCTCTCTGGCTTCAGACCAGAGACACTATTCCAAGCATGTTAATGAAAACCTTTTCCAAGTTTCAGCGGGAAACATCTGAGTCAGAGCAATCATGGTGGAACTAAAATTTTTGAATCTCTGAATGGGGAAAGAAGGGGAGGGGGGCAGCTCCTCCATAACGTGGCATGCAGGAGAAGGAGAACTTGAACTATGGATCTCCAACCTCAGATGGCTACAATAACGTTCTCAAATTACTCTGCTTACATGTCAATAGTTAGAAAAACCCCAACTTTCATTTTAAATCCTTCAACGCTTGGTGACATTTGTATGACATCTCTTTCCCACCTTGGTTAAACCCACAAAGGTGGATTAGCCAAGCATTGGTTAAAGCATGTTTTATTCAGCAGAGAATACATCTGCTGAATAAAACTCCGCAGTGGCAACAGGAAGGGCATCGGGCCAGTCAACCCCCGACTCCATTCAGTTACCCAGACTCCACCCCGGCAAGGGATTATGAGGGTTATTAAATGAAGATGATGAATTCTTTCCTTCCTCATAGCTGTCCCGGAAAAAGAGAATGCAAACTTCAAGGCTGCTTATTCGCGTTATCCCCAAGAGGAGTCGGGCATATCTGCAAATCAGGGAAATGTAACAACAGGACCCTCGTTTGCAAGAAGCGAGCAGTGAAGACATTTGGTACCAGCGGACTAAAAAACAAAATCAGCTCTCAACCTTACGCTGCGTTTTTATTTTGCAAGACATCTGGAGATCAGCTCCCAGCAACCTGCCAAATCCTGACTTGGGTTTACAAGAGCTTATCTAATTAACAGATGTTTAGAAGATAAATTTCACTGCACTTTGCACAGAATCCACTCTAACCGCCAGTCAGCTGTTTAACGGTGGAATTATGCCGAGCCCTTTTGCTGTATAAAGATGATTATAATTTTCCTCTCACGCTGGACTGATAACAGAAGGGCTTTATTTCTTATGCGTTACTTGCATGGGTAACTATTAGCAGTAGAATTCCCAAAAGAAACAATGCAGAATCGGGCATTAAAAACGTCAATTCACTTACAGAGTTTTAATAGCCACTGTTTAAATTGGCATTTAAGATAGCAAAGTCTTAACTCAATTTTCTCTTCAACTGCTTGCTTTTGAAATAGCTTATTGATATTATTATTGTTATTATACAATTGTATCACAGCGGTCAGTTGTTTCGCCGGATTTGGCATTGGTTACTAGTCGGGCCCCACCCAGGGGCCTAGGATGTCGTAACGTATTTTCGTAATATGCGTGCAGATCCAAGCAGTGCGGCTTTTTGCATTTGACTGATGCTGATTTTGTTAATTTTTACTGCCAATTACCACTGGAATTACAACTGCTGGTTTGTGCCATAGTTGTTGAATTTCAATTTTTAAGTCCTGGTATTTTGCGATTTTTTCATGTTCCTTCTCGGAGACCCTGCTATCACCTGGTATTGCGATTATTATTATTATCATTATTATATGATTGTATCACAGCGGCCAGTTGTTTCGCCGGATTTGGCATTGGTTACTAGTCGGGCCCCACCCAGGGGCCTAGGATGTCGTAACGTATTTTCGTAATATGTGTGCAGATCCAAGCAGTGCGGCTTTTTGCATTTGACTGATGGTGATTTTGTAAATTTTTAACTGTCGTTGAATTTCGATTTTTAAGTCCTGGTATTTTGCGATTTTTTCATGTTCCTTCTCGGAGACCCTGCTATCACCTGGTATTGCGATTATTATTATTATCATTATTATATGATTGTATCACAGCGGCCAGTTGTTTCGCCGGATTTGGCATTGGTTACTAGTCGGGCCCCACCCAGGGGCCTAGGATGTCGTAACGTATTTTCGTAATATGTGTGCAGATCCAAGCAGTGCGGCTTTTTGCATTTGACTGATGGTGATTTTGTAAATTTTTAACTGTCGTTGAATTTCGATTTTTAAGTCCTGGTATCTTGCGATTTTTTCAAGTTCCTTCTCGGCGACCCTGCTATCACCTGGTATTGCGATTATTATTATTATCATTATTATATGATTGTATCACAGCGGCCAGTTGTTTCGCCGGATTTGGCATTGGTTACTAGTCGGGCCCCACCCAGGGGCCTAGGATGTCATAACGTATTTTCGTAATATGTGTGCAGATCCAAGCAGTGCGGCTTTTTGCATTTGACTGATGGTGATTTTGTCAATTTTGTCATTTATTATTATTATTATTATTATTATT